AGTCCTAACAGAACTAAACAAGTTGGATGTAGTTTTATTTACTGTTTGACATTATCTGTTGATAAATGCCCGGAAGATTATAACAATTGCCTGCTTTGATGGAGATGAATATGAATAGACACACACAGAGATGAATATCTTAACTTAAGATTTATGAATATTCATAGATCAAAGATTAAAATTTTTGTATGATATTACAAAGAATGAAGAATGGATGTCGTACATTAAATGTTTTTAGATAAGTAGTTGCTTTAAACTTATCAAACATAGACAATTTTAACTGTTTCATGAGAGTTCAAATAGACAAATTTTAGAAATATATTATTGTCAGAAACAATGACATTTTGCTGTTACAAAGTTTCCTTTTGTGTCTGATACAATTGGTATAAAATTGTCATCACCGATGGTTAAAAAAGAAATTGTATATAATTCAATATGTAAATATTGACAGAGGATTACTGCACAATCATTTTACAGTGTATGAATATACAGCCCCCTGTGTGACAGAACCCCTGGAATATGTGATGTCTGCAAACCTGTCCATCTGTCCTGGATTTACAATCTGTCAAATTCTCCCTGAAACACAATTAACTGGAGTTATTGTAGTGTGACTTTGTTATCTTGTCTCTCTTTGGCTTGTTGTAAAGTCTTACATGTCTATGAACTGTTGCTAAGGTCCTTTGTCTCCATAGTTGGTTGCTAAGGTCCTGTGTCTCTGTGGCTGGTTGCTAAGGTCCTTTGTCTCCATAGCTGTTTGCTAAGGTCCTTTGTCTCCATAGCTGGTTGCTAAGGTCCTTTGTCGCCATAGCTGGTTGCTAAGGTCCTTTGTCTCCATAGCTGGTTGCTAAGGTCCTTTGTCTCCATAGTTGGTTGCCAAGGTCCTGTGTCTCCATGACTGGCTGCGAAGTCCTATGTCTCTGTGGCTGGTTGCCAATGCCAGTTGTCTTCTTGAATTGTTGCTAAGGTCACAGTCTCCATGACTTGTTAAAAGTCATATGTCCCCATTACCTGTCGTATGTGTCTTTGACTTGTTGTAAGGTCTTGCGTCTGTTTGTGATCTGTTGCTGAGGTTTTTGTCTTTACAGCTTTTACAAGGTATATGTGTTTCCTTGGTTTGTTGCAAAGGTCTTGTGTCATTGTGACTTGTTGTAAGGTCTTGTGTCTGTTTGTGATCTGTTGCTGAGTTTTTTGTCTTCACAGCTTTTACAACGTATATGTGTTTTCTTGGTTTGTTGCAAAGTTCTTGTGCCACTATGACTTGTTGCTGTAGTCTTTATTCTTCACAGCTTTTACAAGGTATATGTGTTTCCTTGGTTTGCTGCAAAGGTCTTGTGTCATTGTGACTTGTTGCTGTAGTCTTTATTCTTCACAGCTTTTACAAGGTATATGTGATTCCTTGGTTTGTTGCAAAGGTCTTGTGTCATTGTGACTTGTTGCTTAGGTCATGTGTCCCTTTTAATTGTTGTTAGATTTTACGATGGTGCTAAGGTCATGTCTCTGTGACAAGTTACTATTAGAACCTGTAATGTCTTGTGACCAGAATTGATCATTGTGAATATCCCACAGCTCAAACTGCCACCTAAATTGATGGACTAGTGTTGGAAACAGCTGTGGCTGATAACAAAAGGTGGGGCTATATACTTTCTTTTACATGAAGTTCAGGGAAGGGAGATAACTCTAGAACGAAATACTAGCTAAAACATTATATGTGTCTGATTTCAGTAGGGGAATGGCTAGATCCATGTGTCTTTGTGTACTACAGCTATAGATGGTGAAATTTGATAAATCTTCACAGAAAATGGTGGGAATATCCATGTACCTTAGATTTTATTGTTAAAAGTAGAAAGTCAGGTTTACATGTTATGTACAATCTTGTCTCATCGCCTGACCTGCCAATCATCTGCTTACACGCCACTGACCACTCTAACCCTTGACCAGTATGATAAGAAATTTGGAGCCATATCAGTTTCTTTTTTTCTGTCTGTTTGATTGACAATAGTGATAAGAAATTTGGTGTCCAGTATTTTCATTGTAACTGTCCTTTGTCTGTTTGGTATGAGTGGTCAGAAATGGAAGGGTTTTCAATTATGTTTGTTCTGAACACTGACCATTTTAACCAGGTTATCCAATGATTCTGACCACTCTGGTTCTGACCACTCATTTGCCGTTTGTAATCAAATACAATTAATACTGATATTTATTTTCCTGTCATTTGGTTTCACCAGTTGTTTGCAGAGTCCAGCCGTTCATTTGATAGATGACACAAACTAAACCCGTCTTTTTCTCTATTTGATCAGACCCACTCAGTTCTGACCACTAACAATACATTCTACAGTAAGATGATAATAGGCGTTCTGCTTATACGCCATAATAGGACATTGTCTTGTCATCAATATCCCTGTCTGTACCTAAAGCCAGTAAAAGGATGCTGAAATAACGTTATGGTATGGTTAAATGTATTTTGGGAAGATTTCATCAGATACTTTGAGAACCACGTATCTATTTCTAATCACGCCATTTATAACTATTATAAGCTTGATTTCTTGTTTAACGTGGCTCTGACAAGATTTCTGATATAGAACATATCAGTGAAGATAAATGGTTTTATACCCTTACAGAATTTTACTGATAGAATATGAAAGTTAATTCCGGAGATTGACAAACGAGTCTGAGGTGCACATGTATGTATGGATATTGTAATCTCCAGCTCTTCATTGTAAGACGTGGAGTTTTTATTTTACTGGAGATTTAGGTCGGTAGAGAGTTTATTTAGTGGAGCTCTTCTGGGAAAGGAGTCTGCTGCACTTTAGGGTAGTCAATGATAGATACATACTGTATATATCAGACAGGAAATATATGTCAGGTTAAAAGCTACCGATATCTATTACTGCTCAACAGAATTATAATCAAATGCTAAGTCATTGTCCTACAATGTCCCTAACTTTGATGTAGAATTAGTCTGATGGCCCCTTATAGCCGTATAAACTTTGGTTGTCTTTTAACACAAACATAACAGTTAATTATCTTTTTACACTACGCCTGTTATACAGTAACATTTTGTTTTACTGCCAGCATTACACAGTACTTCATTATACTGTCCTCATTTGTCAATTAAAACTTTGTTTTTACTTCACCATTTGTCCATTAAATCGTTGTTATACTGTCACCATTTGTCTATTAAATCCTTGTTATACTGTAACCATTTGTCAATTTAATCCTCATTATACTGCCATCATTTGTCCATTAAATCCTTGTTATACTGTCACCATTCGTCTATTAAAACCTTGTTATACTGTCACCAGCTGTCCATTGAAACCTTGTTGTACTGTCACCATTTGTCCATTAAAACCTTGTTATACTGTCACCATTTGTTAATTAAATCCTTGTTACAATGTCACCATTTGGTAATTAAATCCTTGTTATAATGTCACCATTTGTCCATTAAATCCTTGTTATACTGTCACCATTTGTCCATTAAATCCTTGTTATACTGTCACCATTTGTCAATTAAATTGTTGTTATACTGTCAACATTTGTCAATTGAAACCTTGTTATACTGTCACCATTTGTCAATTGAAACATTGTTATACTGTCACCATTTGTCAATTGAAACCTTGTTATACTGTCAACATTTGTCTATTAAAACCTTGTTATACTATCAACATTTGTCCATTTAATCCTTGTTATACTGTCAACATTTGTCTATTGAAACTTTGTTTTCCTTCACCATTTGTCCACTAAAACTTTGGTATATGGCCTTTAAATAAACAGTGAAACCTTGTTATACTGTCGCCATTTGTCCACAAAAACTTTGGTATATGGCCTCAAATAACAGTGAAACCTTGTTATACTGTCACCATTGTGAAATAAAGAGAATTTTAATTATTGTCAGTTGTGTAAACTTGTAAACCCATATTGCTGTGTTTTGAATGCGAGCTTGATGGAGATGAATCATTGTTCGTGTAAACCCATATTCCTGTGTTTCATATAACTATGGAATTAAGAAGTCATATCGATGTCTGAACTAATCACGTACAGCAGTGGTTTGGTCAGTTACCAATTTCTGTGAGATAGGGAATTAGAGCCAACATCTTATTTTGATATTCTTCGATATACGCTGAGCGACTCGCTTTACCATTTTGAGAGGAAATAAAGACCAATCTCTGTCCATGTTGACCTTCCTTTACTCACTGACCATAATTTGACCATTGTGATAAGAAATTAGAGACCTCGGCTATGTCACTTGACCTTGGGGGATGGACAATGACCACAGACAGCTCAGGGTATTTGAGAAAGCTGGACATAAAGAACCAATTTCTTAATACTGTACATACTGATAGCTCTCTGGTTGCATTGTGTGGTCATCTATGCCATATAGGCCCATCACTGACCGATCTCCAGCCAGGCAGCCAGCATTTTATGATTGTTACACGTATATAAAGGAACTTTCATTTTTTCTCTTGAGGGGAGCCAAGTATTACCATATTTCATTATTGATAAAGTATTGCGAGCCAGCTCCAAGAAAAGAGTTAGGCATCCAAAACTGTATCTCATTTATATACAGGATCAGCAAAAATGTTGACATAGCTTTTTTTTTTCTGGGCAATATTTAATTCTATTATTTCATTTTCAAATATGACTCATGATATCAGTCTGAAGTGAAGAATAAAGTCTTCAAATTGGTTATAAGAAAATGCATTGATTTTAGTGGCTGGGTTTATCATGTGTTATATACGGTTATAGAAGGGATCTTATAGAGAGCATGTATTTCTTTTATGTAAAATATGGTATTTAGACAAATCTTACAGAAAGCAGTTGTGTATTTCATGTCAAATAAAGTAATATGATGCATCTGACAAAAAGATATGTGTATTATATGTCAAATGATACAAGTTTTATTTGAAAGAAAATGTGTGTTTTTTTATGTAAAGTACGGTAGTAGAATATAGGATATCTGTTGAAATAGATTACTGCAGCTTGTGTGTCCATGTATCACTTGCCTTGCCTGTCGTCCAGTCTCAGTATCTATGTGGTCCTTGGGTCGGTGATCATCTCGAAGGTCATCTCTGGTCATTGCAGGTAATGTTTCACTATAGTAATGACCTCTGGTCACTTGAACCATGAGTGCTGTACTTAAGATTCCTTACTGCTTCAATCATCAGCTCCAGACCAATTGCTTAAGTAGGAAAATCCTGGACAGTAGGATTGCTTGACCATTCCATCATTCTTGACCAGTCCAGCTCCAAGTTACCATAACAACCAGAGGTATAGTTATCCTACTCCAGTAGACTGAGAATTTGAATGCTTAAATTAACAATAAATGTAAAGTTTCTTCAATGTCATTGAAATGGGAATTGGAATGTGATTTTTTTATTTTTATTTTGTTATCAAAATTGACAGATTTGGTTAATTTTTATACGCCACTGGAGGCGGTCGTATATTGGCGTCATCTTCTCTGTCCGTCCGTCCATCCATCCGTCCGTCCGTACGTCCATTTCTTGTGAACACAGCTCCTCCAAAACTGATCATCAGATTTTCATGAAACTTGCTCAATGTCACAACTACAATGGGTAGATGTGCATGAAGGGGCGATTTTTTGGTTCGTTGATTTTTGTAAGATTTATGCCATTTTCAACTTTGTGTCTGTAGCTTGCTCATAGTGGAGCTTTGTGAATGCAACTCCTCCTAAACTAATGATAAGATTTTCATAAAACTTGCTCAATGTCGCTAATAAAATGGTTCGATGTGCATGAAGGGGCAATTTTACGGTTCATTGATTTTTGTAAGATTTATATATTTTGTGGTGGTGTATATTGTGTCCACGGCACTCTTGTTACCAATAATATAATGACATCAATTTCTACACCAGTCATATTAAGGTAGTCATCAGTCACGGTTAAAGGATTTATAGTTACGCTTGACAACTTATTCAAATTCATTAAACAATGATACTTGTATGCATGGCAACAAGGGCTTTCATATGTTATACACATTTCCATATCTTGCTTTGTCTTCTATTGAAACTAAAAAAAAAGAAACGGTGTTGCAATGGTTGTGTCCTTTGATAAGACATTTTACTCAAATTGTTATGGGCCTCCTGTATGTTGTTCAGTGAGACAGCCGCCGGCTACTTTACAGAGACCCTGCATCAAAATGAGTCTGGCTTTTCATGGGACCATAAAGAGACCCTGCATTGAAATGATCCTGGCTTTTCATGGGACCATAAACCAAACCAAAAAAAACCGAAAAACATCTAGGAAAGTACTCCTAATTGAGGGTGGAACTATTTTTAGCAGTTTTAACTGATGAGTCGACCATTAAATAGTACAGTCATGGTTTATTTGATTCTGAAGTCTGACATCCTCGGAAACAGCTTGTTTGAAGATTTATGTATTGACCACAGGCTTGACCCCGTCTGTGGTCAGATTATCTTTATTACAAGCATGTATTTGACCGATGTGGTTGATGGGCGTGAAGATGAGATGGTTTTGGTGACAAGAAGATGAGCTGTACTTACAGTAAGGGAAAGTTGTGATAACTTCAACCATCAATTTGGGTTGATATTAGAACATTATTGAACTCCCCACTCCTCCCAGAGACTGAAACTCATGCAGTTTTTAATTTCCCTTGGTATTTCAGTTCCTGACATAACAGAATTTGTACATTTGGCGAATTTTTTTTTAAAATACCAGAAGAAGGATCAAATTGTTCATGCTGACCAATTGAGATTATGGAGCTGTGAACCATCATCAGATGACAGGACAGGAGACAAAGGAAACTCATTCATCTCCTATCTGTTTGTGTAAGGCTATCATTGGTTGGTTGGGAGGTCTAAATAGAGGGATCCTATGGTCAAGTGTTGGTGTGTTAATTTTTAGAGTGGTCAGTTTGATATGAAGGGATGTTAGGATAGGGCATTAAAAGTGGTCAGACTTCATAATTAATTTGTGGTATCCCATTTATCATAATGGACTTTACACAATGTTTGACAAATGATCTTTATATGGTGCAATGGTATGCTCTGGGGTTGGCCATTCATCAAAGGCTTGGATGTTTTGCTTAGATCTAGAGATATTAACCACCGCTGCAGATATTGAACCCATCTCCCCGAGTAACAGAGCATCAATTTCTTAAATAGTGTGATAAATATCAGTCTGGTGCAGAAGTGGTGTGGCATGTCTATTCACAAATATTCTCACTTGTGCTGTGAAGATTATGCAAAGACACACAAGTGAATATCATCCTCTAAATTAGAGGTAAGAGATATTCACAGATTATCTGAATTAGGCAATGTTGACAAATCTTTACAAATTTTACTTAAACCAAATGTGATATCCTGATATCGGAGGTAAAGGATGTTTCAAATATATACTCCTGAGCTGAAGATTTGTTCTTTTTGTTGTTATAGCCAGGAAAACATAAATAAATTTCTGATACTTAATTATAATCCTTTTGAACCCTAGGATTTGTATGTTCAAATCTTAAAAAATAATCACGCAATTATCCTTACTTAAATTTTACCTGGCAGTTGTTAAGTTGACAAATCTGATATCAATCTATGTTGTTAGCATATACAAACATATCTTGTCTGCTTGTCTGAAGGATTATAATCAGCTTAAGTTTCAGCAGCAACTGTCTGATGTTTTGCCTCTGATTTAATTACATTGGTTTTAAATGATAGCATATTAAGCTAGTGAGACGAACATTAAAGTAAACCCTGTTTTTTGTCTTAATTATTCATACTTTATCACAATAAAATTAGTTTTTAATCTGATTTAATTTTCAAGGGAATTTTGTTTATAAAAATAATAGATATTCAAGTCACATTTGATTGGTATGTAAATCTCTTCATTTTTGTAGTGTTTACAATTATATTAGGGAACTGGTAGAATAAATGTCTGGATTTTCAGTCTCACCAGCTCTGTGATGTTGACGATAGGGCTTATGCTATCACACCCAACATAGGTGTTGGTGGTTGCATCTACATAGTAGCGGAAAAAAGATAAAGGATTTTGTAAAATAAACATTTTTTACAGGATATAGAGTATTGTATTGTAACATTTTTTTGTCTGGATCTCCAACTTTCAATTTATTTTTGTTTTATCGTCATCATTTTTATTCTTTCCGTTTCTGTTTTTTTTTATTATTGATCACTTTGCTTATGTTATACTGATCATGACATGAACTTTTAAACTCTTCGAGTGATTTTGATTGGACAGAAGTTATGTTTCCATATTCGATGAATTTTGATGCAATGACACAATTTACTGCTACAGATATCTTTACTGTATTCTGCAGTGATAGAAAACCTCTTTATTTCAACATGTACATAGATTGACTGGAATTACATTCTGATACACTTAAATGTTATGTAATCAGTTTTGTTTATAATGAAGAAGTTCATAGATGAAAGTTTATGAAACTATTATATTTTTTGCGGTTTAGAATTATATTTCTGTGTGGAGCAATGGTTCATTTGTATGTCTTCCCACTTAATTCACGGTAAAGTTGTTGTCAGGTGCTTAAACATTAACCAATTGTTAAAAAAAGTTTTGCAACTTTTGTCTTTCTTCAACCTTGCCGAAAAACAACTTATATTTAATGTATTTTCTATGTTTTTGAGTCTGTCCTAACCCCAAAATCTATCCTTGATTGTCCCAGTGCTGGATTTACCATTTTGGTATAAAACTTAAGACGACAGAATCAATTTACTGTGCAGTATTATGAAGTGGCTCACACACTGGTCTTGAGAGAATCTTCATCAGATCAAAAACTTCTAGTTTAATTCTGTCTGCTAGGATTAGCATTTTAATCAATCAACTTCTTCTCCTTATATGGGCAGACAAACATTTTTGTGATACAGATGAAACACTGAAGTGAACTTGTCTCTTTACAAGTCATCCTCTATTCACAAGAGCTTTTCAAGGGAGACAATTATGGTAAGGAGTTTTGAAAATGATTTGATTAACATTATCGTACAGAGAATCAGTTTTACATACTACAGGGATACCATTATTCTTAATCTGATGCAGTGAAATTTATATATTTTTTTGGTAAATTAGCATAATGATGAAATAGCATATCCACAATAATTGCTAAATAAATACCAAACAGAGACTGTAATTATAGCAATTATAATTTAGTGTCATATTTTCAGTGCGAAAAGCACTACCATTAGCTTAATGCCAAAATAGGTATGTTTATAGTATAAGGGACTGACACAGTATGAAATAAAAGTGTTTCGTCAAAAACTCTTTAAAGCAAAACAATTTGTTTTTTGGTAATGTGAGAACAAAATGATGTTTTGAAAAATGAAATAATTGATTTTAATTTGGTTTTGGGGTGATTGAAATGGAAAAGCATCTATTGTGATTTGCCTGGTTTGGAATCGGGGCACTTCAAATTTTAACAGCCTGAAACTAGAAAATTCTAATTTGTATCATCTTGTCATACCTACTCAACTTAAAAAGTAAATATAAAAGAAAGTGTAAAGACAAAATATGATAAATTAATATCTTCTGAAATTGGTCTGTTTGAAACTTGATTAAAAATCTAGAGATGACTTAGCAGATTTTTAATCATTATTGATTTGGGCGGAATCGCCCGAGAAAGTGCGACAGGTCATAAGGGACATACAAACAGATCAGGTGAAACGTTCTGAGAAATAAAGTTATTGAATTAATCAGCTTAATGTTATAGGAGATTTATTCATTAAATGCACAACTAATCAGCAGGGATCATTTTTTCCTCGTTGACTTCCATCAAAACCACACACGATTGGAATAAAAAATTGCTCATCACCCATCTGTTCAACGTCTTGTTGCAGATTTTCCCACAATCAGGCGATATGGTTTTCCTCTTTTTCAAAGGATTCCCAAGATCATTTCGCCATAAAGATACCATGTAACAGTACAATACAGAAGTAAATACTATCAGGCCGGAAACGTCTGCTTGGCTAAGACAAGCCTGGTGAAGACCACCAGTTTGGTTTCTCTTCATCAATTTTACAACAATCTTACAACAACAGAGTAACTTACTTGTTTTAGTTATCACCCATATTTCTCGCCCACACCTAATTACAGCCCATACTGAGTGCAGACTAATATTACACTACCCTAAAGT